AGCAAATCCATGATTGGTCATGGAGACTATTTTTGGATTTAAACTTTACAATAAAAAGCCATTTTATACCAGTCCTACCTTGGTACTCAGGTGAGCAAGTGGCCCATGGGCCTCTTGTTTTCATATCTGGCCCTTCGTCTGGCGTAATTTTAAACAGAATCCATATTATTTATGAAATTCCGACGCCAGTTAAAGCATCGGGGTTCCCTATATTTAGAACCTTTCAAAATAAGTGATTTAAAGTGCACAGCACGAAGATTAAGAAGAAAAAGCAAGAAGAAGTATTTCGAAATGCAACTGCAGATGTGCATAGTGACATAAAGTCAGTTAAAGTGACTCTTGAGCTAGAAAGTGGGAAAACCATGACATTTTACCCTCGTCAAAGTTCTGATGAACAAAATTCTTTGTTTGGAGATGACCAATTGATCCAGCAGAAAGATTTACAATTAATTCAAAAGGTCATCCACATCAAAGACAAGTATAGGATTTCAGATGAAGCTCTCCATGTGGTTTTCAAGTCAAAATAAGTTATGAATTTAAAAACAGTTTATAATTTACCAATAATAATCAATTAATTATATCAACACACGGACTACCCACAGGTGAATGGTCATCTATGTAAACACCTAATTAACACCTCAATGCCAAGCCCCAGGCGTTCACTGTTTTCCAGGTAAGTTCAGGCTGCATCAATTTTACGCTTGATTGGCTTTTATACATACGCAATCAAAACTTCGAGAGATAGAGGGTAAAATTCAATGAAATATGTGTAACGGGACCCATGTTTTGGTTCGATAAGTGAAGGAAAAACAAAGAATGAAAAGTCATGCTAACAAGTCTAGTGCCATTGTGCTTTAGCAATGAGAGTGGAATTGTATATAGTACCCAATGAAGATGGCTTTATGTATATGCATTATTGCAATGATAGTGACATTGCAGCTTTCGGTAAACCTCGGCTGATTTCCACTCTTCGAACAAGAAAGGGGAAAAGAATAATAACAAATTTTAAAGCCTGCGAGCATTAACTATCAAATTTTACTTAAAATGAAATTAAAGAGACATTTTTTTTTAAGATTGGAAATCTTGCAAAATTTTTAAGTCGTACGAAAAATAGATCATCAGAAAGTTATCTCCCTTGTCTTGAACAGCATTTCAACCAATGAACTAATTGAAAATTTTCTCATCATGCAATTTCTACCAATCACAAAAGAGAGGAAGTGCATAGTCCGAAGACTGTAAAAAACTTAACTATACTATACCGTCTTCCAAGGAAGACGGTAACAATGATAGTACCATTGTGTATTTACAATGTAAGTGACATTGTCATCCTTGACACGGGGCACCTCCGACGGACTTATATATTTTTTTTCAAAATATGTATTAACTAGAAAATATAGTTTATAAAATAGTAAATAAAATAAATAGTTGAAATATGAATTACCTCTCAATTTCAGACGAGCAATGTTTTGAAACTGATATTATTAGTTATGTAGACACTTAGAGGGGTAATACGGAAATATGTGGGGTCCTTGAAAAAATCCTTATTGGGCGAGACGTAAGCCGAGCCCAATATGCATTTTTTCAAGGACCCACACATATTTCAGTATTACCCTATAAGTATCTACATAACGAATTTATCCTGCAGATGATTCACTAAAAGATTAAATATTGATAGTATCAATAAACTGCTTTCACTGAACTTCCAAGCAAGACGTTCTACATCCATTGTACGTTGTCGTCAGACGCATTATGACGTCAGATATGAAGCTCCGAGTGGGTCACGTGAAAGCAGTATATTGATGATGTGTGGTTGGTAATTTTTTTAATATATGGTGGGTAGGTCAAGTGGAGGGGGCACATTAGCAATGTGAGGTGGGTAGACAGCATAACGTTGTTTCATGCAGTATTGCTCTCGACCAATGAAATTTCAGGATTTTTATCAGAGGCAGGATAAATTAAGCTTCCTTGGTTTTCATGTCACACAGATGGATTAGTTTTATACACGTAATCGAACGTTCTTCTGTAGAAAAGCTCAAATTTCCAAGGCTTACATCCACTTCAAGCACATGTCAATATTCAAAATGGCTGCCCTCACGTGGGTAAAAATAATGTCAACAAAATCGTTTTAAGTCCAAGTTCTTATGTTATGTCTGATTGGACAAGTGATTTTTTATGCAAAGAAGTCTTCACATAATAATAATATTAACAATGATTGAATTAAGTTTATCGAATAAGAAAGGAAACATTACATATACCCGAATTTAGATCCCAGTATCAATCATTATGTAAGTTCACACTTGATCGGGATCGATGTTCACTAATGGTAGCCATACTAGTGCATGGCATGGATCTTACGATGTTTGCGGGATTGGAATATAATTGATTGATATTACTCACTTGCAAACATTTATGTTGTTGTCAGGACAGGGATTCTAGATAAAATTATTTTTTTATTGGTGTTTGTCTAATTTATCCATAACAACACTAATTAATCAAGCACGTTTAATTTTTTGATTTTAGTAATTGTTTTCAAGATATCAATTGAAAACTTTTGGACAAGTGAAGTTGAAGTTCGGACAAGTAATTTTCTTGGTCACTTGTCCGAATGAATGAACAAGTAGGAAAAAAGTTAATGTCGAGTCCTGCGCCCCCGTTTTGTTTTCGTCCCTTTTGCACTCTTCTTGATTGGGCGATTTTAAAACGTGGCGAATTCAAATTACACAGTATAATTTCTTACAAAGAGCTATGAAAGTGCGAATTTAAAACGTGGCAAAATTTTGAAGTGCAAAAGGGCGAAAATAACTCTGTATACAGTATATTGTTTTAAAATATCTACGTGTGTAATCAGAGGGACTTTGCACAGAAGCATAAAACAGAGTGGAACGCGGAAAGAGGTATGTCAACATGAAATGTAAAACACTGGCAACGCTCGGAATCGGTATCACTATCAGATAGTTTCACTGTTGGTTTATACAAGAATAAAAGAACTAGTTTGCAGTGTTTTTTTAAGCAAAGAACTACTATTGATTGTGTATGTAAAACATATGTAGCCTACATTGTTGGGTCTAGTGAATGTCATCATTATTAGATTCATGCTGGGACTTATGTATACTATATAGAGCGATAGCTAGTTATAATTTACCAACATCTCTTTCAGAAATCCGAGTCCGGACCTATTTCTTAATACAAGTGATCCTGGCAGTGATCAAACACTTCCACCATCAGATGACTCTCACCCACCTTTGAGGAGATGTAAATGCTAAATTTGAACAGTGTTTCAGTGAGGAATTAACAGTAATCTTTCACTTGGGGACTTTTTTCTTCAATTTGAGCTCATTCAACTTAAACTACTTGGTAAAGAATCCCAATGTCTCTTCATTCATATGATTTAACGTTAACCATTGTAAACTGTAATATCAAATTATCTTTGTAGCATGGAAGGATATGGAAATAACGAACAGTATTCAATCTCAACGTCCATTAAACAAATATACAAAATAAGAGCAGAGCAAACACGGACCTCCGAAACATCGGAGGTGGGATCAGGTGCCATAGAGGAGTGAGCATCCCCTGCATTTTAACCTTGTTCAACACAACCACCAGTAATCTTAACACGTAGCAGTGAGAGTGAGAAATCAGAGTAAGCCAGCATAGGTAAATAAAATGAACGATTAGTTAATATAAAACTTGTAATTATAAATATTTAGATTTAAATATTGAAGAAAACCTAAATTTTTTTGACATAGTGATTTTTCATTTTATTTATGACACCTATTAATTTTCTATGTGTTTGGAAATAAGATACAGATAATGAAGAGCTAGATTTTGGTTCGCCTATGAAAACATCACCAAAGCGCCCTCCCAGACCTCCATCAAAAAAGAAAACAATACCATCTTATACAGGTCTTGAGGTAAATAACAGTAAGACCATATAGGTCCAAATACTGCTGCAGTTTTGATAAGTGTACCTCATATAACTATCTGTCATAATATGTTAAAGAGTTTTTCTATTGTGTATTAAAATCAACATTATCAAATAACCAATGCTTTGCTGACTACTTTGATATTTTACTCAAGCCGAAAATCCAATGCATAAGCAAGTTCTCGTTGAAAAAAATATTTTAACACACCTGAAGGCGAAGCCTTAAAAATACTTTTTTCCGGATGTGACGTAACATTAGTGACCCTAAGGTAAATAGACAGCATAGCCATGCCAAAAGAAAAGAACTGGCAAGTATTGTGTGGCAGCGGGCTGTACAGCAACCAATGCTGATGATATTTCACTCCACGAATTTCTGAAAGAAATAAAAAATGAACTTAGCGAAAATTGGATTAATTTTGTTAAATCTTGTGATAAAAATTTAACATAATGAGAAGGGTTAGTACATTCATGATTTGTTGTGCATAGATACCAATAAGGTTGCAATTGCCAAGTATTTCTCTTATTCCTTTCAAAGTTGTGCAGTGTGACTTTCCAAACTATAAACCGAAGGTTTGCAGCATTGCAGTTCAATGTAAAGAAATCTTAAGGAATTGAGTTGTAAATAGATATTTTGAAATTTAATGAAGATTTCAATTTTAAATTGCATATAAAAAATTATTAACTAAATAAAAATTCCAAACTATGATATATTTATGAAATTTTAAACCACGCAGATGGAAGAGCAGGATGATCTTTTAGTGTGTCTGTGGTACATGCAGGTGTGACCGGTCAGCAAGGGATGCTCACTCTTCCATGGCACCTGGGATATTGAACATTTCAAAGACCACTTGTCGAAACGAAAAGTGAGTGGGGACAAGTATCCAGAAACCAATAATATAGACATTACCACCAGGCATTATGAGGTGAAGGAACGGACCTGGAAAGATGGGGAAGAGAACGCTCAGAGGAGTTCTGGAGGAACAAAGACGGATCTGCTGTGGCTCCTCACCAAACACCAATTGCCACTGTTTCTAATCCGGCACCTATGTGCCCCTGGAACTCAAGAGTCCCGTCAAACTTGGGTCATCTGAGAGAAATCTGCAGGACGAGATCCAGTCAGTTGAAGAACCCCTCGTCCTGGATTCCCCAGACGAAGGATCAGTAGCTGATGAACCATCCGAGCAGACAGCCGCCCTGAGCGCAAGACAAGAACAAGTTCGCCCTCTTCCTCATCATCTTGTGCCGAGTTGGTAGAGAATCTACAAGAGATGTGCGGTAAGGTTACACAGGCCATCGACAGACTGTTCAGAGCCGTAGAGGTACAGAGCAGGATACTAAGAGATTATGGAGAAGATTCCCATCCAGATAAGAGAAAGATCCGTAAAATTCCTTTAAAACGCTACTCCTTCTAAGGTTTGGTCTGATTTCAATATAACTTGGCACACAAGTAGACAACACTAAGATACACAGAATAGTGCATCTTTTTTTTTAATTTCGATGAACGATGTTACCACGGTTACTAAAATAGAATTTTCTGTGAAATTCCTTTAAATTTTGCAATTTGATTGATTATGAATGAATCAGAGGGAACGGACTTAGCTGCAACCCTATCAATCCAGGCACTTTCCACTTCAGCAACCCTATCAAACTAGGCACCATCCACTTCATCCACCAACTTCAATGTAAGAGTCTGTTTAAAAATTAACAAGTAATTGTAATCAGGTTATCAAACAATCATAATGTTTAGAGCATTTTGAATTGGATGTATTTGATAGAATCTGTTTAATTTTTAAGAATTCAACAATATATCAGGAAACTCCCTTTACTCCACCAAAGAAAAATACCATCTTACCAGCCCATTTCTCTCTAATCAGAAGATCGCCTAGATTGATGGGAAAAAATGCAAGCTTTAATTCAATTTGTAAATCCTTAAATTACATCAATTAAGCGTAAAGAAAGAACTGCACATAATATAAATTCACATTTTAAGCATAAAGCAACCCTATCAAACCAGGCATCATCCACTTCAGCAACCCTATCAAACCAGGCACCATCCACATCAGCAACCCTATCAAACCAGGCACCATCCACTTCAGCAACCCTATCAAACCAGGCACCATCCACTTCAGCAACCCTATCAAACCAGGCACCATCCACTTCAGCAACCCTATCAAACAAGGCACCATCCACTTCAGCAACCCTATCAAACCAGGCACCATCCACTTCAGCAACCCTATCAAACAAGGACCATCTACGTCAGCAACCCTATCAAACCAGGCACCATTTACTTCATCCACCAACTAAAATCCAGAACAAAATGTAAGAGTCTGTTTTAAAAAATAACGAGCAATTGTAATCAGGTTATCAAACAATCATAATGTTTAGTGCATTTTGAATTGGATGTATTAGATAGAATCTGTTTAATTTTTCAGATTTCAACAATATATCAGGAAACTCCCTTTACCCAACCAAAGAAAAATACCACCGTGCCTGCCCATTTCTTTATAATCAAAAGATCGCCTAGATTGATGGGATAAATGTAAGTTTTAATTCAATTCGTAAATTTTTAAATTACATCTGAATTAAGCGTAAAGAAAGACTTACACATAATATAACTTCAAATTTTAGGCCTCAAGATTGGAAACCGAATCAACGAAGTGTGTTCAACAGTTTCTACCAATCCATTCCACTCCAGAAAAATAAAGACATAACCTACATTTTGGAGTTGCAACCTATCCTCCAGAATGCCATGGAATCAGACCTCGTTAGTGTGAAGTGACTAGAGGGTTCATTTGATTTTTTGGAACAGTTAGTTGAATAATTATACAAAGGATAGTTGTAAAAACAGTCTCTTTTAAATCGTTTTAAATATTGCATTGATGCTGATAATTATTTGTTAGGAGAGGAATAACCACTTAAAATCAATAGGAATACCCCCTGCCTAAAAATCTTTCTTTGGATTGGTAAAAGGTTGATAATTTTTCCTGCCTTTTTTAAACTATATTTTCTTCAGGGACTGCAAATTATATATATATATATATTTAAAATAAAAAGATCATCAATATTACATGTAAATAATACTATACAAAGAAGACAACTGCCATATTTATGAAAAAGGTGACTCTCCAAGGTGACTCGGCCAAAGTAAATGCGACTCCCAAGAGAACAAATAAAAGAGGAACTTCATTGTAGAGGCTATGTCATTTCAATGGTATTTAAAAAAGACTGGGACGAAGATTTTGTATACCGCGTTTGTAATGATTCTCATTTACTATCTCATGGTGGACAGACCCCGACCTCCCAACCCCGGATACTTAACCCTCGGAGTTGGACATTTTTTTACAATTATATAAGTTACACATATTCATCATGAGTACCCTACAAAAAAAAACTCGTAATAGCCACCATCTAAAAATATGAGAAGAAAACTACCTTAAGTTACTTTTGCAAACATCTTTTATTTGGTGGCCCATATTAATAAATTGATACAATACATTTGTTCCAATTGTGTTTTATGTATAGTTAGGCTGCTACTTTAAGCTACATGGGGTTGATTACAATTTATATTGAGTTATTTTTGCGTGGTTTTTATTAGCTCACCTGAGCCGAAGGCTCAAGTGAGCTTTTCTGATCACATTTTGTCCGTCGTCCGTCCGTCTGTCTGTCTGTCTGTAAACTTTTCACATTTTCGACTTCTTCTCAAGAACCACTGGGCCAATTTTGACCAAACTTGGTACAAAGCATCCTTGGGTGAAGGGGAATTTAAATTGTTAAAATGAAGGGACATATCCCCTCGCAAGGGAAGATAATCAAGAAAAGACAAAAATAGGGTGGGGTCATTAAAAAATCTTCTCAAGAACCACGGGGCCAGAAAAGCTGAAACTTATGTGAAAGCATCCTAGGGTAGTGTAGATATTAAATTGTTCAAATCATGACCCCCGGGGGAAGGGCGGGGCCACAATGGGGAATCAAAGTTTTACATAGAAATATATAGAAAAAATCTTTGAACATCTTCTTCACAAGAACTACTGGGCTAGAAAAGCTGAAACTTACGTGAAAGCATCCTAGGGTAGTGTAGATATTAAATTGTTCAAATCATGACCCCCGGGGGAAGGGCGGGGCCACAATGGGGAATCAAAGTTTTACATAGAAATATATAGGAAAAATCTTTGAAAATCTTCTTCTCAAGAACTACTGGGCCGGAAAAGCTGAAACTTATGTGAAAGCATCCTAGGGTAGTGTAGATATTAAATTGTTCAAATCATGACCCCCGGGGGAAGGGCGGGGCCACAATGGGGAATCAAAGTTTTACATAGAAATATATAGGAAAAATCTTTGAAAATCTCTTTATCAAGAACTACTGGGCCAGAAAAGCTGAAACTTATGTAAAAGCATCCTAGGGTAGTGTAGATATTAAATTGTTCAAATCATGACCCCCGTGGGAAGGGCGGGGCAACAATGGGGAATCACAGTTTTACATAGAAATATATAGGAAAAATCTTTGAAAATCTTCTTCTCAAGAACTACTGGGCTAGAAAAGCTGAAACTTACGTGAAAGCATCCTAGGGTAGTGTAGATATTAAATTGTTCAAATCATGACCCCCGGGGGAAGGGCGGGGCCACAATGGGGAATAAAAGTTTTACATAGAAATATATAGGAAAAATCTTTGAAAATCTTCTTCTCAAGAACTACTGGGCTAGAAAAGCTGAAACTTACGTGAAAGCATCCTAGGGTAGTGTAGATATTAAATTGTTCAAATCATGACCCCCGGGGGAAGGGCGGGGCCACAATGGGGTATCAAAGTTTAACATAGAAATATATAGGAAAAATCTTGGAAAATCTCTTTATCAAGAACTACTGGGCCAGAAAAGCTGAAACTTATGTGCAAGCATCCTAGGGTAGTGTAGATATAAAATTGTAAAAATCATGACCCCCGGGGGAAGGGCGGGGCCACAATGGGGAATCAAAGTTTTACATAGAAATATATTAATATAGGAAAAATCTTGAAAAATCTTCTTCTCAAGAACTACTGGGCCAGAAAAGCTGAAACTTATGTGGAAGCATCCTGGGATAGTGTAGATTCTAAATTGTAAAAATCATTACCCCCTGGGGAAGGGCGGGGCCACAATGGGGAACAAAGTTTTACATAGAAATATATAGAACAAATCTTTAAAAATCTTCTTCTCAAGAACCACTGTGCCAGAAAAGTTGAAACTTATGTGGAAGCATTCTTGGGTAGTGTAGATTCTAAATTGTTCAAATCATGACCCCCGGGGAAAGAGCGAGGCCACAATGGGGAATCAAAGTTTTACATAGAAATATATAGAAAAAATCTTTGAAAATCTTCTCAAGAACCACTGGGCCAGAAAAACTGAAACTTATGTGGAAGCATCCTGGTATAGTGTAGATTCTAAATTAAATCATGACCCCCGGGGGAAGGGTGGGGCCACAATAGGTAATCAAAGTTTTACAGAGAAATATATTGTAAAAATCTTTAAAAATCTTCTTCTCAAGAACCACCGGGCCAGAAAAGTTGAAACTTATGTGGAAGCATTCTTGGGTAATGTAGATTTTAAATTGTTCAAATCATGACCCCCAGATGAAGGGTGGAGCCACAATGGGGGGATCAAAGTTTTACATAAAATATATAGGAAAAATCTCTGAAAATCTTCTTCTCAAGAACCACTGGGCCAGAAAAGCTGAAACTTATTTGCACATGGAAGGATCCTGGGGTAGTTGATTTCAAAATGTCTTAATTATGATCAGTGGGGTAGGGTGGGGATACATAATGTATTACAAGGGGGAAATCTGGTAAAGAACAATGGTCAAAGCTTCTCAGGTGAGCGATGTGGCCCATGGGCCTCTTGTTATGAAATGAAATAAAAAGAAGTAAATCAGAGGAAAGGCTTAATATTAGTGATATCAGCTTATCAATTTGATTTTTGGAAAATGTAAGGAAAAGAAAGCCAAATTCAATCAATAAAAAAAAAACATATTTCGATCCATTTAAAAAACCATTAAAGGACATGTCATCTATGAAGAAAAGGAAAAAACCACCATCACTTTTGTTTAGAGCATGCCACTTCAAAAATGATGAAATGTACGAGATGAAAAGAGCCATAGCTGCCTTACCGACGACTCGGCGTACACAAGTATTTAAAAGGAAATCACCTGTTTCTATTTATAGATACATGTACCTTTACATGAATCTAATCATTTGTGAACCACTGTTATATTTTCATAGTTGCAAGTTTGTTGCATGACAGTAATTTTACTTGTCCAATACTCTTATTCTAAACAAAATTGTTTGAAAATTTTAAAAATAAAACAGGCTACAGCTATAACTTTGGTTCATTAAAATAGTTCAAGACTGTTTTTCCCCAAGATACTTTCAGTGTGTAGTGTTGTATATTATATATCTCTTTTAAAAATTATTTATACATGTATGTATTTAAAAATAATAAAAGAAAACACAGGAAAATCCACACAGAGAGAAAAAAATAAAATCGCTATTAAGTAACACGCAGTGTGAGATTCGAACTCACGATCATTATGTCTTCAATCCAGCAATCATATCACTATGCCACGAAGTCTTGGTAATCGAATCGATAAAATTTAGACAGATTGTTGAATTTTGAAATAGTTTTAGAAGAAAAGTTAAATACGTATTTTCAACATTTTCAATATGAAGACCACCTTTAACCAAAATTATCTAAACGTAATGAAGTTCAGTCATATCCAAATAAAATTATTCAGAAGTTGTTTTTCTTGTTAGGTGCGGTCTTTTCCTACATTTTGTCATTGTTTAGGTGGGTACCTCAGTATTTACTATATTCTCCATATAAACTGAACGAGTTTTATAACTATCGTAAGACTTTAATTAGAGGGAAATATTAATAATTGAGTATAATTTTTGTGTGAGTTGCTTTAAGGCATGTATAAACAAACATTGTATGACACAATTTTGGTAAAACAATGTATTTAAAAAATCACTACTAGTGTAGGCGAAAGTGACTATCAAATGCGCTATGGCTCTTTTGGACGAAACGAGTGGAGTAGTTTATAGACCAAGTAAAAGATTCTAAATGCCAAAGAGGAAAGTCTTCATTTACAATCGATGGTGGCCACAATATGTGTTCTTCTTGCTTCAAAGTGCTTTTGAAGATCAACAAAAACTTTTACTATTAGATATTTCAAAAAGCTATAAATAAGGAAAATCGTCAGCTAGCTAAAGTAAACGGCAGCTTGCTAAGGAAATACTATGGGATTCAGAGAGTCAAGATGAGAAGTCAAAATTATACTTTCATGCAAACAGAATGCCAGATAATGATGATATGATGTTGCTATACAAAACAAGAAAGATTGATCTTTGACTTATATGAATGAAAAAAAAATACATATTCCTGCAATGTCAAATAACTTCCAAGTATACAAATTCATCTCAACTCTAGTACAACTGCCAACAATAATCAGGTTCAATAACTCCATAATATAAAAATAATCTGTCAAATTACGGGAGATTCTTCAAATACTTACTTGAGAAAGGAATTGGATCCTTATCATCCCCCTAAAGGAAATCTACACACCTCATTGGAGCATAAGTCGATACCAGTCATGGCTCCACAACACACAGAATAAATGAACGCACCTATGTAAGTGCAACAACTGGACACTCTTACGAAAGGGGACCCTAAGCTGGACAAACTACAAGAGATGTACACTTCGTCTCTTACACACCAAGCCACCCCACATTGGCTGGACAAACTACAAGAGATGTACGCTTCTTCTCTAACACACCAAGTCACCCCACATTGGCTGGACAAACTACAAGAGATGTACACTTCTTCTCTAACACACCAAGCCACCCCACATTGGCTGGACAAACTACAAGAGATGTACACTTCTTCGCTTACACACCAAGCCACCCCACATTGGCCGGTACATTAATTTCCCAACATTGAACATCTCCAGATTATATTTTTACCACTCATGTCAAAAACGTATTGCAATCTAATTTCTCCGCTGTTGAAATAACGCGTGTAAAATCAAAGTTGTTCAGGCTGTCGGGTGACGTGGTTGTGTACAAAGCCGGACCTTTCCAGTGTCAAGCAAAGAGTCATCCTTTTGATGGTTTACATGTGTAACTATCAATGAGAAATTGATTCAATAGCATTTGCAGTCGGGTCACGCTTGCCGACTAAAACATGGTTTGATAACATGGTAATGATCATTTCATAACACAAGTCAAGTTGACATAACTTTGTTTGAAATCTTTTTAACGATTAAAAAGCATGAAACTGAGACAGCTCATAATGGAAACTAATTTCGCAATTCCAAACAAGTGTATTTCTTATTTCTGTATTTTCATAATAGCAAAAGGTGAGACGTATTCTGGACTAAAAATCCGTACAAAATACGGCGAAATCGTAACAGTTAACAGGTATGTAATACAATAGATCGTTATAAATTCAATCAAAATTTGTTATAAATTTAAATATTTTAATTTTTGTTTTATTAATATTTAAAGAAAAAACAATTTAGGGAATCGTGAAAAAAATTGCTCACAAACAGAGGAATTTCAAATATCTGTGTGTTTACTGTTGACATACTGTCGACAGAGAACAAACACACCTAGGTATGGCAACTTTTGAAGATTTTGTTGTACATAATGCAACTAATTTGCCTAATTTTCTTTAAAAGACAAACAATTGGAAACCATGCATGCATTAATTATTGGAAATGGTTTTATCGCCTACTTGATATAGCAAAAGTGTTATTTTTTCAGTCTCTTCCTTGGCTGAAAAGAGGTCTACAACATCCACTAAATTCCCTTGTTGTGAGACATTTGACGTCATTAATGGGTAGTGGAAATTGCAAATTGTTATAATCATGACCCAAGGGGCTTGGGGACGAGGCCACAATAGAGAGTTGAGTTCAAGTTGTACACAGAAATATATAGATTCAATCTTTTAAAATCTGCTTCACAAAAACCAATTTGCCAGAAAGGCTGAAACTTATGTAGAAGCATCCTTGGGTAGTGTAGATTTAAAATTTTAAAGTGTGGGTCTGGGGTTTCAATAGCAGCCAGTGAGATAATGGAGGGCATATCAACTTTCTTGGCACTCTTCACTTCGCAGATTTTTTTGAAAATTATACGAAAGTCGTTGAGTCATCCAAGTTATAAATTGTAATTTGTGATTAAAATACTGTGTAAAAAATTAATACAGTCTATAATTTTCATTTAAAATGTTGAGGCGATCGAAATTTCAAATTTCTTTGGAGTTTGATGGACAGCTGCTGAATGTTTAGATTTACACCTGAAATGCTTGCACTATTGACACATGCTAAACTGGCCGCCATTTTCTTAGCTCAACAGACAAAGATAATCAAAAATAATCCTTAATACTTTTTATTATTCTTGTCTTGAGTAGTAAATTAGAATCAAAGCCCAAGCTTACTACACAGAAAGTCTAAACAATTATCACTTTGGGTCAGTCATGCTGTTTCAGTCACTTAGTGTAGCATCACATCGGCGAAATTATAAGGATTATTAGCGTGAACACGTGTTTGTGACTGCCAGAAGGTTAAACAAACAAAATAAAAGAAATTATCATATTTATAAAGTCACACTATTGAAAAAGAAATATTGGACATATTTTCTTTTAGTTCCAACGATGCTCCATGTATGGCTTATTTTTTGGATTAGCAAACCAATACTTTAGAGGTTCTAAAACACATTCTGGTATAATATCTCGATAATCCCTAACAAAACTTCGTTTACGGGGGCATAAAAAAGAACAGTTTGGCAAAGAAATTTATAAGCATCCTTAGGTAATTCAAGTTTGTTCAAATAATCTTTCCTTTTTATGGGTAGTTCGGGCCACTTATGCATTTATACTTTTTCATACTGAACTTATCTCTGCTTTTTTTTTCTTAGCCACAGTGCCCAGGTGAGCGATATGGCCAAAGAGCCTCTTGTTTTTGTTGGTTTATTAATACCAACTTATATTAAAAGTGTAAAGAGCCAAGTTTTAATATGCAACATTCCTTTCAATGATTTTATATTTGTAGTAAAGTAAAGATGAATCCAAGTTCGAGGGTTTAGTGGCAGGAGTGGAGTTCTCAAAGTAACAATTAGTGAACTAATTTGATTATCTTACCTGTATATCCAATATAGAACACTTCAGCTATTTCTCCCCGGCAATTCAGTGAATTCGTTGACTATAATAATGAACTCATCTTTGTCCTTTAGCTTTTTACCTGAGTAAGCCTGTATACCAGCATGCAAGGCATGTTGACCTTTCATAGGGCACGTGATGTGTAATTGATTCTAGTACAACACTCCTCATTCAAAAACAAGGTTTCTCTATTATTTTAGGGACTTCAGCTGCATCATTATTGGGGACAAAATGAAATCATTTTAACTGCAATCTCATCTGCAATCATGCCTGGTGAGCATCTCATAGAAGACATGTACATACGGGCAAACATTAAAGGGTGCACAATAGTTGAAATGTGAGTACATGTCTTAATGGTGTCTTCCATGCACATAGTCTGTAGCACATTACTACGCATCTTTTTTAAGGTTGTCTTAAGATATATTACTCAGAATTGTGTTATGATAAACATACTTATTTTACAGTGGTCATATATCCCCCATCTTGAATGCATCTCTCCAAGTTTATAAATATATTGTTTTTAATGAAGTGTCTTTCACGACAAGCTTTTGCAGTTGATGTCATCATGTGCCTGTCACCTAATATCGGTATTTATAAAAAGAATTATTAGGTCACACAAATAAATCATTTTAGCAAGGACATAAGCTTATTGTACTTACGAAAATTTTGGTATGCTTTAAATTAATGTTATCAATTTTACCTGAAAAACCAATGCTGCTTTGTTTGAATATTGGTATTCCACAGAAAATCCAAAAACAAACTCGAAAATACGTCCTTAATAGGAATACTATGTCATCTAGAGTCCAGTAACAAACAAAATCCTGAGATATAACCAATCCAGCAGTACTGTTCAGTTAGTTCGATACCATCTTAAAACCCTTGTGAAATTAAAGATTGCTAAGAAAAATGCAGATACTTCACAGAACATAACTAGTGCTAATTGTAACGGGAACCGTTACAGATGTTCCCCAAACGCTCCCCAACTCCCTTTTGGTGCCATATTCCCTGTGAGCTTCATTAAATACGACAAATTCTGCGCATCTTTTACTTTAACAACGTTTTCCCAGAAGGATACTAATTATTCAAATTTTAGCATTGCACCCGTGCGCATTTGAATGCATGCGCGTTATAACCATATCATCTTGTCTACACTATCTATCATTATATTTTGATATACTATATATTAAAGCATTCAGTCCATAAATATTCAAAATCACTCATTCAAGTGTATTTTTAATTTCACTA